ACGAGTGGCCGACGGCCGACGAGTGACGAGCCCGCGTGACGAGTGGCCGACGGCCGACGAGTGACGAGCCCGCGTGACGAGTGGCCGACGGCCGATGACCCGCGCGGCCCAGGGTATCATCGCGAGCGGGACGCGGACGCTCGGACCGGCGGCGCGTGGAACTCGGAGCGGACGGCGGAGCTTTTCGGCCACTCCCGCTGGCTCGGCCCGCACTGCTGCGAGTAGTGCGTACAGCCTTTTCATTTCCACTATCTCCTCTTACGCGGATGCAGAAAGATAACAACGCAATGGCACTTTCAGCCCGGCCCCGCGCCGTTTGCCTCGGCGGCTCCGCTTTTCCGCAGAAGTCGCGTTCCTTCGCAAGAATGAACTAATTGCCCGCGGAGGCTTCACTCGCTCATCTCCGGCGCTCTGCTGCAGCTCTCTGCAGCTCTCTGCTGCTCTCTGCTGCACCGGCCATAGCGGCGCACTGTCTCTGAGAGCCACTTACACGTTAGAATGGGTCTGAAGAAAGGAGACGCTATAAGCAAAAGTCGTCTGAAAAAATAATTGAAATCTGATGAAAGAAATATCACACGCAATGTATCTGCTAAGCCAAGTCGTTGTTGTTGCGGTTGTTGCAGGGCGCCCCGCCCGGCCCCGCCCCGCAGCGGCACCTCGCGAGGGGACTTCGATGCACGTCATGACCGCCGCGGCCGCGACCTGAGCCGCCGCGGCGGGGCGAGGCCCTCGGCGAGGTCCTCGGCGAGGTCAGCCGTCGCGCGCCCCAGGGTGTGAGTACCGCCGCGTTCCGTCTGCCCGATGTGCCTGATGTATGTTCTACAGCGCTCGTCTCTCTCTCTCTGTTGCAGTACCGAGGCCGAGGCCGTGGCCATGGAGGCGGTGGCGGTGGCTCGCCGCCGGAAGGTCAACTTCTCCAAGCGCGAGGTCCGCGTCCTCCTGGAGGAGGTGGAGCGGCTGCGGGGCCCGCTCCTGGGCATCGGCAGGGACTGCAACATCGGTGAGTCGAAAGGTTGCAGTTTGAGTGTGTTTTGCAGGAGATACAATGTTTGTCGTTCGCAGCGCGCCGCGGCCAGCAGTCCATCGAGCAGGCGTGGGACCACGTGGCGCAGTGCGTGTCCGCCGTGGCGCCCGTGCGCCGCCAGCACCGCGACGTGCGCAAGAAGTGGGCGGACCTCAAGTGGGCCGCCCTGCGCGCCGGCGGCCACGGCGAGGCCACCGACGTCGTGAGCAGGACCATCCTCAGGATCATCCGCGGCGAGGAGACTGGCCTGCAGCAGAAAGGTAGGTAGAGCACAGCGAGCATGGCTTCGGAGAGGACACCTGCGGAAACTCGGCCTGAGCGAGGGCGCCTGCGGGGCGGGCCGTCCCGTCAC